CTTGGAGAGGTGTTTCAGCTTAATTACTCTTAATTAGATTTTCTTTCAATGCTTCTCCAGACCAGTAGGCCATCAAGTTCCCTCAAGGATCTTCCTTGTGTAATAGATCCCAAATGGGCCCAAGTAAGCCTGTGCTCCCTCCACATTTTCTTTTCTTTTCTTTCTTCTTTCTTTCTTTCTTTCTTTCTTTCTTTCTTTCTTTCTTTCTTTCTTTCTTTCTTTCTTTTATTTTTTTTGAAGGTTATTTATTTATTTTGAGATACAGAGAGAGAGAGAGAGAGAGAGAGAGAGCGAGCAGGGGAGAGTCAGAGAGAGAAGGAGAGAAAGAGAATCCCAAGCTCCACACCACCAATGCAGAACCTGACATGGGGCTCAAACTCATGAACTGTGAAAACATGAACTGAGATGACATCAAGAGTCAGATACTTAACTGACTGTGTCATTCAGGTGCCCCCACTTTTTCTTTATATTCATTTATTGTTCTATGGCCTTTGCCATTGCATGCTAACCCTTACTCCCAAACATAGGTGGGGGGATCCTGTGGGACAAGGCACCCTGGGAAAATTCAGATAAAGGTGGTATATGATTCAAGAAATACTGACTTACTCTTTCTTTAGTGACTGTGTTTCTAAGGTGATTTTGGTTTTATGTCAATTTCCTGTGGATCCCACTCTAACATATGGGAAGTAGGGAATATCAAGGAATTTCCCCCCATTTTAAGATAGAGAACTGAGGCTCAAGTTGTGACTGGACAGACTCAAGACCATACAGACAGAGTGACAGAGCCATGAGGTTCCTCTGGCCTCATGTCTATTAGGTAGGAAAATGGACCAAAGCTCAAGTTTCCCTGAGATCACTGCTGTGTTGGGGGATGGGCATAAGGAAGGACATAGCCACGTTCTATGCTGGTACAGTTTGGGGGACCCTCTTTAAGAAAAATAAAACAAAATTCCATACACAGGGGAACATTTAGTTGAAATAAGAAATCACAGCACATTACAAACCCAAAAATGTTTACAAAATACCATGAGTACCACAGTATCCAGAAAAAAACATTTCTAATTTTGTTAGCCAGACCAAACCTATAATGCTTTTTTTCTACATTGTTAGCTGCATCCTTTTCCACTGCTTTTTAAAAATATGTCACAATTTGGTAATATTTTCTACAGTGAGAATACAAAGACAATCGTCTTTTGTTTCACACTGATTACAATTAACTTCTTTATTATTGGTCATTTGTATATTTTCTGTCCATTTGATACCCAGCTATGCGCAATGTCATGTAAGTTTTAGGGTTTTCAAATCCTAAATTTGGGAATAGCTCAATCACTTTTCTCTCATATATGAGCTGTAAGATTTAAGGCACTTCAAGTTTTCTTTCCTTGCTGAGATTTAAAAATTCTATTTCTGGTAAAACACACAAAACATAAAATTTACCATCTTACACCATTTTTTAAGTGTACCACTCAACAGTGTTACATACAATGACCTTATTGTGCAACCGATTTCAGAACTTATTGCAGCTTGCAAAACTGAAACTCTATATCCATTAAATAACAACTCCCCTTCTGCGCCCACCCTGAACCCCAGGTAACCATCATTCTACTTTCCATCTCTGTGAATCTGACTATTCTCCATACCTTGTCGAAGTGAAGTCATATAGTATTTGTCTTTTTGTGACTGGCTTAGTTCACTTAGTCTAATGTTCTCGAGGTTCATCCACGTTGTGACAGGTGTCAGAATTTCCTTCCTCTTTAAGGCTGAATAATATTCCATTGTATGTGTATAGCACATGTTGTTTGCTCATTCACCCACTGATGGACAGTTGGGTTGCCTCTACCCATTGTCTATTGTGAACGACGCTGCTATGAACATGGCGCACAAATATCTCTTTGAGACACCACTTTCAGTTCTTTTTGTGTATAGACCCAGAAATGGAATTGCTAGATATTATGTTAATTCATTTAAAATTTTTTGAGGAACCACCATTTATAACTTGAAATTTTTCATAGCATGTTTACCACTTTGCATTTCCGCCAAAAGTACACAAGAGTTCCAATTTTTCTACATCCTTGCTGATCCTTTTTATCTATCTATCTATCTATCTATCTATCTATCTATCTATCTATCTAAGAGTAGCCATCCTATGGGTATGAGGTGGTATCTCAGTGTGGTTTGGATTTGTATTTCCCTAATGATGAGTGACGTTGAGCATCTTTTCATGTGCTTCTTGGCCATCTGTATTATCCTTTTTTGGAGAAATGTCTATTCAAGTCTTTGCCCATTTTTCTTTAAAATAATTTTTTAATGTTTTATTTATCTCTCAGAGAGAGAGAGAGAGAGAAAGAGAGAGAGAGAGAGAAAGAGAGAGAGAGAGAGAAAGAGAGAGAGAGAGAGAGACTGTGTGAGCAGGGGAGGGTCAGAGGGAGAGGGAGATACAGAATCTGAAACAGGCTCCAGGCTCTGAGCTAGCTGTCAGCACAGAGCTGACGCGGGGCTCGAACCCACGAACTGTGAGATCATGCCCTGAGCTGAAGTCGGACGCTTAAGAGACTGAGCCACCTAGGCGTCCCTTTTTGCCCATTTTTCAATCGCGTTGTTTTGTTGTTGATATTGGCCAAGCTTTCTTGAGCAGTGATTAATTTTAAATTCCTCTTGACTGATTGCACTCACTAACCAATTTGTCTTTCATGGTGGTTTTGTATTAGCATCTTGTGGGGTTTGTTACTTTTTAGTACCAGGATAATCAGTGAGAAATGAAACTCTTTTTTTCTAATATGTTCATGTAATTTTCTTCTCTTTTAAAATTGAACTACATAACAATCAAAGAGTCTATTCATTAATCCTATTTAAAATATATCTCTGATGATGAATTGCTGCTTTTGGAATCATCAAAAGCGTTTTGTTGTAATTCACTTTTTGATGTCAGAATAATCTCTTGATTTCTTATAGAAATCTATGAAAACTAATTTTATTGTGTAAGATGTTTATAGTTGTTTTTTATTTTAAATGTTTATTTATTTTGGAGGGGTGAGGGGCAAAGAGAGAGGGAGAGAGAATCTCAAGCAAGCTCTGCGCTGTCAGCTCTATCCTACGGATCATAAGATCATGACTTAAGCCAAAATCAAGAGTGAGTCGCTCAACTGATTGAGCCACCCAGGGGCCCCTTGAGATATTTATAGCTGTAAATGGAGAGTTATCAAGTGTACTCCATGTAAGAGGTACTTCCATTTTGCCTAGGGTCTGATGAGAACTGTATCTTCCACTTACAATACTATGCAGTGTTGTAATACTATGCTACAATACTATGACAGAATAATTTTCCACAGCCTAGCTTCTGACTCTTTATATTTCAAACCTTAATTCTTCTACATTATCTTGGCAGAGACTTCCAATTCTAGTGCCACACATTTATATCACCATCGACGCTCTGGCCTGGCACCTTTATGCCATGAGACTGGGTGAGTAAGAGAGTTTCTAGAAGCCATTCCTACAGAGGGACAAGAGAAACTGTGAACCACATAAAAATATCCCACTAAACCCCAAACTAAATGTACCCTAAATTCAATTGTCTTTTAGCTAAATCCTCCTATTGCCAACACCACCTGATATTAGAGAATGGGTGACTGCAATGAAGTCAGAATGGAAAGAGACAGTGGTCTTAACTAATTGTGGCTCATATGCCTTTCTTTTGCAAATTTTGCTCAACAAAAGAAAAAGGAAAAAGGAGAAGAAAAGTCTACTGTATAAACCATCTCTAGGACTCTTTCCAGGACCTTGAAACTGGCCTGTAGAAGTGAGGGCCTAAGCTTAACCTTCCTGAGCTGCAAGGTAATCTGGTCTGGATGGGGGATGGGTAAGTGGAGTCCTTCTGTTTTTCAGGTCTGGTGAGATGAGGAATATGAGGAAGGACAATGATCTGGCCAATTTGCATCTGGAGGACCCAGGGTCCCAGTTCGGGACCTAGCACATTTCCTACTCTTCCCTCCCTCCCTCTTTAATCACACACCACACACCCTGTGTTTCTGGAATGGTCCATCTTGGCTGGAGACTATAGATTTCCTGGTAAGATGTCAGCAAGCTGTGATATTGTTATTTTACTACCCCACCATTCTTCACCTACAACAAATGTCCCCTTAATTGCTTCAGCATGAGCCCCGGCTGACATCCCCCATTCCTAAGGGTCTCTCAGTCCCAACCTCACAGTAAACTCAAGACATCCAAACGGGGCTGCCAGACGTGGCAGCTGGAATCCAGACATCACGGCCTATTTGAGCAATTAGCTGAGCTCCCATCCCGGGCTGGCCTCATTAGGGCTGTCCAGATGTCCACTGCTAGAGCAGCCTTCCGTCCCCGGGGGCGGGCTGTCTCCCCAGGTGAGGCCAAACTGGTGTCTGTGGGAGGCATGTCAGAGCTCAGAGAGCCCTTCCTCATTGTCAGGGCTGTTAATTGAAGTTGAGTGGGAATCGCACAGGCACCAGCCATGGCTGCTGGGCCCCGAGGCTCTCTGTTTCCCATGCATAATCCCCGTCTGCGCCGAGCTCTCCCCATCTGGGGGCAAGGCCAGCTGCCACAGCTCAATCGATTGTGAAGGGTGTTCAGCCCCAGTCATGCTGTTCATCCGCTGCTCAGCTCCCACCATGACTAAATGGGAACATCTGGAAAGGGGCAGGGCAGGGCTGGGGCGAGGAGGATAAGGGCAGGGGAGGATTAAAACTGCTCCTTCTTAATGGGAAGATTTTCTCTAGTAATGTGTGCCTCTTCTTTCCCATGTGGTGGGAGGTGGGGAAAAGAGAATTTCACCCTAGAACAACCTGACGGGGGGCCCAGCTAGAGATACCAGCTGTTGTTAAGAGCCAGAAGTGCATCTGCCAGGGAGATGGTTCTCATCGTAGTCTAGGTGAGTGGCGCCCCCTGGAGTTTTGGGGTGCATGACATGTGTGGTCATAATGCCCTGCCAGTAAGACACAGGCTGGACCATGAACCTTGGTTTAGCTTGGCTGTTCCCAGAAGCAGAGCCTGAGGTAAGGATTTGGGTACAAGACCCTTATTTGGGAGGTGATATCAGGAAGCACTGGGTATGTGTGTGAAAACGAAGGGGGGAAGGGAAGGAAGAAAGCTGTGTTAGTGAGGGGGTTGTTCAGATGACCAACCATCCTGTTTGCCAAAGGGTTCCCTGGGACATGGCACTTCCAGTGCTAAACAGGGAATGTCTCAGGAAAACTGGAAGAGGTGGGTCATCCTAGCTGTGTTAGTAGGTTCCTGGTACAGGCAACTGGGCCCAATCAATTTCATGGGGCTGTGTAGACCTGGATGACTGTGTAGACCATGCCTTCAAATGGTCCCATTGAGAACAGAGAAGGACAAAGAAGCTGGCATATTTATCCGTTAACTCCTGCCTATCGGTGGTAGAGGACTGCTCCCAAAGCTGTTGGCTCTGGGCTAACTCTGGTCTACCTACCCTGACACAGGAATGACGCGATGACCAGAGGGGAAAAAAGGAAGCCAGAAATGAATATAATACAGATGCTGCTTTCAAACAGCCTGGTGTAACAAGAAAGCAATCATAGGGGGGAAGAGGTCCTCTCTAAAATGTACTTTCTCCCAAAGACCTTTATCCTCTACAGGTGTCATTCCATCACAGACCTCCATTCCTGTCCCATCCAGACTCTGCCCAGAACTCCCTACACTCCCGGGAAGCCTGCCTTGAAGGGAAAGGAGGAGGCATGAGGTATGCCGGCAGGACACAGCTGGTAGCTGGGGGCTGCTGTGCGTGGTGGGTCTAATCCCTACATCGGCTGCACATAGTGGAATTATCCTTTGTGATGTTAATCCCAGGGTTTTTTGGTTTGTTTTTTTGGAATAATCTGTGCTCTGGGTCTGGGGTGGATTGGGTCTCTGCAGTAGGGAGAATAATGCCCCCCGCCCCCAAAGATGCCCACACCAAATCTCTGGAACCTGTGGATAGTTTGTGTTACATGGCAAAGGGGAATTAAAGTTGCAGATGGAATTAAGGTTGTTAAGCAGCAGACCTGAAAATAGGGGGATTAATCTTGATTATCCAAGTGGGCCCAATGTAATGAGAAACGTCCTTGAAAGTGGAAAAGAGAGGCAGAATGGAGAGTCAGGGAGGAAAGTGTACCTATGGAAGCAATGTTGAAGAGATTTGATGTTGCTGGCTGTGCACACCGAGAAAGGGGGACACGTGCTTAGCCTGTAAAAGATGGAAAAGGCAAGGAAAAGGATTCCCTTTTAGAGTCTCCAGGAAGTAGCACGGCCCTCTTGACACATTGACTTTAGCCTGGGGAGAGCTGTGTTGACCTTCTACCTTTGGGAGCTATAGAATAATAAATTTACATTGTTTGAAGCTACTAAGTTTGTGAGTGATCTGTTCTAGCTGCCACAGGACACTGGTACAAGCTCGGGTCCTCTTAAAAACAGCTCGCTTTGCTGCGTTTCACTCACTGGTGCTTCCAAGTAAGATTTCATTTAAACCTGGAGTTCCAGGGCTAAAAATCTGAAAGCAATGAATTGGGTCAATGCAGTCCTTTCCTTCTCAGCATTGACAGTTTTGTGGAGGAGAATTGGGAATCAGAAAGGTGCATACAGTGGGCTAAAGAAGTTTCTGGCAACAAGATTCCTAGCCTGCATGAAATAAGTATGGTGTTCTGGCATCAAAGCCGATCTTCAAGTTTGGGCTTAGTTTTATGCAGAGATGACTTCACGAGGCTTCTTAATAGGGCCCTAGAAATGTTTGCAGAATGTAATTGAGTGGAGTTGAACTTGGGGAAGTAGGTTCTTAATTTACATTATGATTTTTCTCCTACACTCTGAGTAAGCCCCAGTCTGATTTCATCTGGGAAGGCTTTGCTGATGGAGGTGCTGTGAGCACCCGAAGACCTCCCTGGATGTGCTGAGTCGCCATTTCTGTTGGGTTTATCTCTAACTAGTGTGGATCCTTCCACACATAATTCCCAAGGCCCTTTCCTGTGGTTGCTGATATTTCTTCAGTGGCACTTGGGTCTGAATTAATTTATTTGTTGAGCAAGTGCATCATCAGTTCCAGTGTCCCTTCTACCCTGGCACGATATTTGCATGTCCCCTAGAGTGATCATTATGTTATACTGCCATTTGTGTTCTTTCACTTGACCATTCTGTTAGACTGTGAGCCCCCGAAGATCCAACTGTGTCTTATTCAATTTTGTAGAGTGACAGTTCTTAGCAAAGCGCTGGGGGTTTGGCACACTCAAGAGGCTCAGTAGATGTTTATGAAGGAATTGACAAATGAGCCTCTGCCCAGACTTACTCTCAAAGTCCGTGTTTCCTCCATGGAAATACAAAGTGGGGGGTGTGAATTCGGAATGCTTTATGGAATGCAGAAATTGAGCTGACTGTTTAGAAATAAGAAGAACAGATGGGTGGTGGTGGTGTTGCTGCTGGTATAGCCTGTGAGGAGAAGAACAGCATGGGCCCAACTATAGAGTGTGCTTGGGGACTAATGGCCAGACTGGTGTGGCTCAGCTTGGGCACAGAGTGCATGAATAGGCTCAATGAGAACTCAGTTTAAGATGGTAGTCGGGGTACAGGTCATGGAGGGCTTTCAATGAAGTGCCAGGAGTTTAGAATTAATTTCTCTGGGCATTAGGGTGCCAAGGAATGCTTTGGAGGATATGAGAAAGTGGGTTTTGGTGGCAGTATAAGTATAGGGGTCTTGTGTAGACATTTTGGAGAGTTTCCCCCAAGGTTAATGAGCCTGAGTTACCAATCTCTTAGGCATTTCAAAAAAACTATATGTGGGCTTCCTGGGGATCTTTTAGTCATGCCTCCTGTTGGGGGACCTAAGAGAGAGTCAAGGCAATTTTTATTGTCTTCATCACTAAGACACTCTGGTTTGTGATTTTCCCTCTGTGTAGATGATCCTTGGAGAGTCTTGGGGGCTGAGTATCTCTATTGGAATCAGCCAGAGGCCCTCAGAGGGTATTAATTATTGGTTCCATGCAGCCTCTTGGGTCCAAGGAATAATGAATCGCACCTGAGGTGTGTGCAGTCCCTGACAACTTGGCTTCTTCATGACATTACCCAAGAGGAATTCACAATATGTTCTGGAAGGCTCCCAGGAAGTGTGCTGAGAAACTTGTACAGTTTAGGGTTTTCTCTCCCTGGAGCACCACTCAGCCCCAGAACACGCAGAGCAGGCTTCTCCCTGAGGAAGGGATATCTTAATCTTGGGAGCTGGATCAGAACCTCACATCTGAGTCTCTTCAAAGTTTATTTATTTTGAGAGAGAGAGAGAGAGACTGAGAGAGAGTGTGCATGAGCTGGGGAGTGGCAGAGAGAGAAGGAAGAGAGAAAATTCCAAGTAGGCTCCACTCTGTCAGGATGGAGCCTGATGTGGGGCTCAACATCACGAACCACAAGATCATGACCTGAGCCGAAATTGAGAGCTGGTCTCTTAACAGACTGAGCCACCAGGCTCCCCACAAGTCTCTTTTTTCTTAGTCTCCTTGCCCGGGGGGGCTGGGGACTTAGAACTCAAGTCTTGCAGGAAAGGAGAGACAACATGCCCCCTGCTGTGCTGGCCAGCTCCTCTCCCCATTGCACGCATGAGGCCCAGGGGCTGCTGACCAGGGTTTGGCTGAGAGAAGATGGCCTGCCAGTTTGAGGGTGGAAAAGAGCCTAAGAAAGCTCAGGTGGGCCGAGGGGAATTTGGGGGCATCAGAGAGGAAGGATGTAGGTTTAGATCACCTGTACCTGCTCACCAGAAAAAGGGTGAGGCAGCCGAGTCTCTGCCCGGTCTGCGTTGGCCTTCTAGTGTCCCCCGAGTTTGTCCCACTGGCCTAGTCCTTCTCTCTCTTGGACAGTCTTGACAAAGAAACATTTGGCCGTTGGGCAGAGAGGTCAAGGGGAGACTTGTTCTGGACCGGAGACATGGGGGACAGAGTGCCATAACATGATTGGTGGCTCTTCATCATAAGCCTTTCCCCAACAGCTTTGCAGAGTCACATTGGCTGAATTAAAAAAAAAAAAAAAAGAAAATACTGGTAGAAGAACTATTTGATGTGTCTGAGAGCGTGCATCGAGTTTGGCTGACAAAGCACTCTGGGAAATGTTGGTCTGTCCCATTCGGTTGGCCATCATATCCTAGATCATAGAGTCCCTGAGGCACAGAGCTAGAAGGCACACTAGCTAAAGATGCCTTTGGTCTCCCTTGGTCGAACACGCCGAGTGTGTGAGGTCCTGAGTGGTGGGGCTTTCTCAGAGTGACATTATGCATCTCAGGTTCCACGCAGGCTGGGGACTGAGCAGAGAGGACACTGGATTGTCAGGAGGTTTGTTTTATTTTTTTTTTTTTCTGGCTGTATTTTTCCAAAAGCCGGAGATGAGGAGATCATCTGAATGGCAGTCCTGCGGGAGGACAGGAAATGAGAACTGACGTTGAGAAGGAGTCCTCCTGGAACACTCCTTCCCTGCGAGCTCTCGGTTACCCTGGCTCTGGAGCATTCTCCGCATGCAGCTAGCTCATGGAACACAGCGTGCAGAGCCTGTGCGTCTGGACTTGGAAAGCTGCCAAAAGACAGGGCAAGGTTTCCCGAGGGCTGGAATCTGTGGGATTCCTTGGGACCCCAGGGAACTTTCCCAGTAGCTGGGGCTTGGGCTGTCCTCATGGTGCTGTCTCCCCCATGCCCTGCATGGCTAAAGGAGAATTGATATTAAATATAAAGGCCACCAAATAGATGCTCTTCCCTCTTTGGGTGAGAGTCTTTGCTGCCCAGGAGGGGGCTCTACAGGTCCTCGAGTGTTGAAAGGAAACAAGTTTTATTTAGTTAGACCAGGGAGGATCGTAGCTCAGAGTTCTTATTTTTCCTCTGCTCCTCTTTGTTATGTATTTCAACAGCAAATCCTTCTAATTAAAGTGTTAAATCAGGTTTAGTTACCAGTCGAGATGGGAGAATCTAGAATACAGATTATCCTGCAAATTTCCACCTAAGAACTTTAGCATCGTTTTTCCGTTTCAGTGCTGTGCACCTTTAGAGAGGGGGAAATAGAGGCAGAAAGATGAAACGTAACCTCCACGTTCCAATTTTCACTCTATTGCTGATATCACTGGCTCCCCTCCCCACATTTGGGAGGCACACATTCACGTCTACAAGACCCAGAGAGAGGCTTTTATTCAAAACAGCTTGGCCGAGCTGCCCCGGGTTTTGCTTTGGGAAGACTAACCCAGAGTTCTAACTCTTAGCTCAACATGAACGTCTGTCTGCTGTGGCCTTGGGCCGCAGGTTTACTTCTCCGGACCTCGGTCTCTCCCTCTGCAAAATGAAGGAGCTAGTTTAGGTGGTCTCTGTGGAACATCCTCAGCTCCACGTTCCACCCTGGCCTCCCCCACCCCCCATCCCTGCACGTCTCTGCCGCTCCAGCAGGCAGCCCTGCTAACACGTGGATTTATGTGGGACGCTGGCTTTCCCCAGCAGCTCGTTTCCGCTGCTTATTACCAGAGGGCCGGGACTCATTAGCCTGCTTTGCTTACTGAAGCCTTCACTCCCGAGATTTTATGTAGTGATGGCAGCTTTCACCCCCAGGACTAACAGCAGCAAACTTTCTAGTTGCACTTTATTAATCCCAAACTGAAAACTGACTTTAGGGAGCACTACTGGGGGCGGGGGGAGAGGACAGACTTCCTTGAACCTTCAGTAACTGCTGGCCTCAGTTGAGTCTGGCAGGGTAGGAACATGTGTGCGAATATGTAGCTTTGGGTGTGTGTGTGGGAGGGGCGGTGAGTTGTACCTCAGTTTCTTCTTTCTGTTGGGATTTGAATAGTCAGGTTGACAGTGGTTAGAGGTGGGGAAGGAGGAGTAGGTGTAGCATTACGTGGAAAAGAAGTGGGCAAATCATGAATACAAATCATTCTGTGGAGAGAGAATAAGAAGGAAGTAGGCTTTGCCTAGAATTAGTTCTTAGTGGTTAACCTCGGCTTATATTAGTTCTATAAGGACTCCAGATAGAAGAGAAAGACTGACTCTAGACAGCAGTGGTATTTTCATCAGGGACCCAAAGATTCTGTGACTTCTTCCCAGGAGCTGGTTCGTCTAAAATTTCTGCCACATCAGGAAGCATAGGAACTGAGTATCTTGCGTAGCATCAATCCTACAAGATGCTCAAGGAGTAAAGGGTGTTTTCCAGCAAATTCTAAAATGCCACAAACTCATCTCTTGGAGAGGAACACCATGTGATATTATAGTAAAGCCTTAGATAACCCTACAGGGTCAGGGGAATAATTTCATTTTGTTTAACCCTTAGGCACCCAGGTGTATTTGAGAATAGAACTATCTACTTTTTAATATCTCACACAACCAGGATTGTGAGGATTGGACTTTGGGCAATGTTACCCCAGGGTGAACTCTGGCTTTGGACACCATTAGTCTGGGTCTTCTTTGCCGCACAAAGGCAGACCTGGCTTGGGGTGGGGGTATGAGCTTTTCTTTCTTTCTAGATCCTGGGAAAGGCACGTACATGGATTTATATCTTATTTTTGAGAAATCGACCAAGGGCATCCTAAAACTCCAAGTTCAAGATGTAAAACCAAAAATACCTGAAGTGAAGGAAAAGTGACTATAAGTCATTGGCATAACAATCACTCCCTTTTGGGAGGTGCACGAGTTGAAGAGGGAGGAAATAGAAGAACTAAGTGGGTGGAGGTGAGGGCAGCCTGCCGAAATTAGTTCCTCCAGCTGGAGACAGAAGCTCTACTGAGGGCTGTTTTAGGCTACATTCTTTAGCACAGAGGGCCTGCGGCAAACACACTAATGGTTTTTTGGAGAGTGCAATCTGAGGGCAGCAAGAGTGAGGGATACAGAAGGGGAGGCAGAGAAGGAGGGGAAGGAAATCCAAAGAACTACACTATGGAGTTGGCCACAGTCTTACAAGAAAACACACGGCAAGTCATTGGGGCACAGGGAAAATGTCTCGGGAACAATTGGAAGGGAGAATCTTGGAATATCCTGGAACAGTCCATCCGAGTCTCTACTCTGGACAGGAGTGAGAAGAATCGATCAGCTAGATCTTCAGTACTGTCCGCCTCTCATCACTCAGAGCTCACCCCTTCAGGCAGCTGCTGGGCTGCTGAGCAAGGCGGCAGGTCCACGAATCCAGCCAGGTCAGACCTGGGTGCTGGAGCTGCCGAGGCTCCATAACCACCAGAACCCTCGCCCCAGAACAGGCCTGCTGGAGGCCACACAGAAGCCGGGCCCTGCTCCATGGGATGCTGAGGCAGCTGGCGGTTTTGGGAGATGAGGTGATACAGTCGTGACGGTAGAGTAGGGGCTCTCTACTGTGCAAGCAACTGAGGTTTGGGGGCAGACAGGGGCCAAGTAAACATGGAGAGAAAAATAAACTGAGTCTGGTACAGGGACCAGCCTGACAAATAGAATAGCAATAGAATGGGGATATCATCTCTATGGAGGGAGAATGCAGTAAGTTCCTTGTTTCCATTGTCAGACCTTGGGACTTAGGCATGATGAGACAGGATGGACAAGACGGGCCCAATAGTCAGAAAGGCCACCTGTCAGCCATCCGTCATTTGTCTTCTGGCATTTTGGCCATGAATGGAGGGTGGATAATGAACCATTTTATACTACTTCTCCAAGCACCAGTCCAGTCTGGCCTGGAGGTCTTCTGCACCGGGAGTTAGCGTTTGCCTATCCTAGCATTCAGACTGTGACCCATTTATTTTGGTTCTCCCTCAGATCATCTGCTCCCAGACACTTGTGCCTCCTTTGTGTGGAAACCCTCCTTCTCCTTGTGGTCTCCAGCTTGACACTTGGCAGGCCAGGCCCAGCTGGGAGGCCATCTAGAATTACATCTTTGCAGGGGCTCACAAAGATTCCTTCCCCCAAGCTTCTCAAGTGTTTTGCAAAAGAAAAACACAAAGAAAGAAAAAGACAAAAAGGAATACAACCCCTCCCTCTCTACCACATAACTTGGGCAAGGACTCAGTGGCTTCTGAGTCTCTGGCCTGCAAGGACAGAGCATCCTCTTCTTCTGGAAGGTTCTGCACTTAGCGGGGTGCTTCAGAACTCCGGGACAAAGTGAAGCTGAATGCGGATCAGAGGCCTCGGCTGGACGTGAGTTCTCAGGGTTGGGCCAGGGTGGACCCTGAGCTCCTCTCTAGGTGCCATTTTACACTATAAGCCGCTGGCTGGCTCAGGGTGGTTATGTAACTTACCTAAGGTCACACAGCAGCATGCAAAGCATTGGATCCAAACTCAGGGATGCCCGAATCCAAAGGGTCTTTGAACCTCTTCCTTATCCTTTAGGCTAATGCCTCTTTTCCAGGCTCTCAAGCTTGGCAGGCAATGACAGTACTTGGCTCTTTGAGGTCCTAAATTCCCTAAAGATTGATGCTGTCCCCAGAGGTGAACATTACTTAGTTAAGATAAATTTAGAATCTCAGAAATGTCAAGGTTTTCCGCATTGCTGTCTCCTTCAGAGCCTAGCCCTCCTATGAGTCTCGAATAAGTTCCTAGGTTGGCCTGCCTGCAGGTTAAGGCTGGGTTTCCCTGTGGCTGGGGGAGCTTCTGATCTGTGGCCTGGCATCCATTTACTACCGTGACTGCACACTGCAGAGGTCATTGAGGGCATCCTCCAGCTTCTGAGCATTAACGGTTCCTAAAGAAAGACCACAGCAGAATAAAATGGCCTTGCTTGTTAGTTCTTGTTAGTGATTGTGAGATTTATCAAAATGCCATTTATTAATGCATTTGCATATAAATAAAGCTCATGGAAAAAATGGCTCTAATTTTGACTTTGCTTTGAAGGACCTTCCAGACAACTTATGTCATCACTTGACAGACTTTTCAGGCCATTTTTAGGATGATATTCCATCTAAAAGAAATAAGATCCTAGAACCAAAGTTCTCTAAAGAAAGAACATCCCCCTCGAAATATGCAACAATTAAGCTAGAAACACCATGTATGTCCTATGGAGTTTCTTAGATGCTGTTTTATTTGAGAGGCAAAAGGGGTTTGTTTCCTCTTCATAAAGACCAATACGATTCAACAATAATATGTTGGCTTGAGAAAGGATCTTTAAAAGCATCTAGTCCTGGCCCAAGAATTTTCAAATACGTTTCATAAAGACTTGGGACCTCGTAAAAGAGTTTCAGGGGTATGATAAACATTTATTTTTATTCACATTTCATTTTGAAAAAGATAGAAACTATTTTAAAAGCTCCAATTAAAATGACATGTATCAAAGACCACATTTTCATGCATGTGAGAACCCCAAAAAGTTAACTTGTGTTGCCAGGTAATTAGGGTAGTGCTAATGCAAAAATTACATCATGGATTAAGTACATTAGAAGACTAAAGCCTAAGACAGGTGTTTCTGAATGCTGGCCAGCTCTCCTTCAAGCAGAGGTGTGGGAACCCAGGCTCCTTTCAGCTTGTGGCTCCACCATCTCTCACCTGGGACTTCCAGGCTTTCTGTGTCCCTCTCTGTCAAGCCAGCAGAAGAGCAAAGAACATAGAAAACAATGTGAGAGGTTCTTTGGGGGTGGGGGCTGTGGGCATCTTTCCACTCATGTGCTATTGGCTGGAAATATGTCACATGGCCTCATTTAGCTGTGAGGGACTCTGGAAAATGTAGTCTACCAGCTAACGAGTCGCCGCCATCCCAGGTTACTTTCTTAGGCACACAGTTGGAAATCAGACAGGGTTATCTGAGGAGTAACCATTTTT